TCTCACTGAGGGTCGTTGTCTTTTATGCTGAGCCTCTGCTTTACCAGACATGCCTTCCGTCTCCAGAGATCGGTCCCTCCTGATAACATGTCTAAAGTAAGCAACATGAACTCTCACCATTTGTGCTCCTGTAAAGATTACGACCAAGAAGACTATGGAGCACAGTTTTACACGGGCACACTTGTGGTGGCCGTAAGTCAGAACCAACTCGACTGCAGGTTGGGCGTTGCTTTCTTGGGAGGCCCTGGGTGGTGCAGTTAACAGGCTCAGCTGCTAACCAAAAGGTTGAAGGTTTGAATCCACCCAAAGCATCTTGGGTAAAGGCCTGGTAATGTACTTGTGCAAAGGTAGCCATTGGAAGCCCAGTGGACCCAGCTCTGCTCTGGTGCACACAGGGTCGCCATGAGTCAGGAATGACTCCACAGCGACTGGCGTTGCTTTCTTGAGCTTCTCTGCAGGTATGCTGGCTCTGGCCCTAAGCTGTCTTGTCTGGTTTGCCTTCCAGGTGACACCTCCCTGAGCTTCCTGGTTTTGGTGACAGGCTGCACCTCTGTGGGCAGAATTCCAGAGGCTGAAGTCTACAAAATCACAGCCACTGATTTTTACCCACTTCAGGAAGAAGCCAAAGAGGAGGACCGCCTCTTAGCCTTGAAGAAGATCCTCAACTCAGGCGTGTTCTACTTCTCGTGGCCCAACGGTGGGTCCCACTTCGACCTGACCGTCCGGGCGCAGAAGCAGGGCGATGACCGCTGCGAGTGCGGAGACACCTTCTTTTGGTGAGGGCTGTGTCCGTCTCTGTGGCTCTCGCCCCACCCTGGCCCAGCCACCCAGACTGGCTCTGATGGGCCCCAAATCCCGGCTCTGCTTAGTGGCACCCCCCTCCCCACTCCCAGGCTTACGGATTACCCTGAGGGTTGTGATCTGAACCTGCTCCCTGCGGGCACCGTGAGAAGAAAGCAAACCCACGTTCCCCAGCTGTTGGGCTCCGGGAGTGTGTGGAAAGGGGCCTGATATAGATTTGGAGTCTCTGAGTGATGCAGACGGTTACTGTGCTCAGCCACTCACCGAGAGGTTGCAGGTTCAAGTCCAGCCAGGGACACCTCAGAAGAAAGACCTGGCAATCTACTTCTGAGAAACCAGCCACTGAAAACCCCAAGGAGCCTGGTTCCATTTGGAAGCACATGGAGTCAGAATTGGCTCCATGGCAACTGGTTTAAGTAAAGGTGGTAAGAGCGACACGTTCCGAGGGCTTGCCTGGTGTGTGGGGCTGAGGTCTGTGCTTCTGTGTGGACGAGCACAGTCTTCGTACCTTCCACAGTACAAGTATTTACCACTAAGTGCTGTTCAAGGAGCCTTGGTGGTGCAGCGGTTAAGCGCTCGGCGGCTAACCAAAAAGTCAGTGGTTCAAGCCCATTAGCTGTTCCTCAGAGTGAAGACCCAGCGATCTGCTCCCTTAAAGATGACAGCCTGGGAAACCCTGTGGGACAGTTGCAGTCTGTCCTGTAGGATCACTGTGAGGTGGCATCAACTCGATGGCACACACAATAGGCAATAATATACAGTAATCATAGACCCCTCCTAGTCATCTGTGAGGTGGGTTCTGCTAGCCCATTTCACAGATAAGAGACTGAGGCTTGAACAAGCCAGGGAGCCTTGCCCAACCCCACCCACCTAAGGGATGTGAATTTAGACACTCTCCCTCCAGATTCCATGTTGTTAATTACAAAGCCAAAACCAAACCCACTGCCGTTGAATCCTTCTGACTCATTGTGACCCTGTAGGACAGAGTAAGACTGCCCCCGAAAAGGGTTTCCAAGGCTGTAATCTTTACGGAAGTAGACTGCCATGTCTTTCTGCCATGGCGTGGCTGGTGGGTTCAAACCACTGATCTTTCAGTTAGGAGCCAAGCATTTAAGCACTGTGCTACCAGGGCTCCATCACAAGGCCAAGCCAGCCTCATAAGTGGGAAAACTGAGTCAGCTTGACCAAGGTGACTTGGTGTAACATGATAAACCTACCCCGGAGCCCTGGAGCCCTGGCCCCAGTTGCTGGGTTCAGCGTATTTGGGATCTGGGCTGCTCCTCTCCTTCATTTAAGGCGAATAGCTGAGGGCAAGATGTTGCTACAGACATTGGGACACACTGGCTTCCTGGGCGGGGCCATGACTGGGAGGAGCCCTGTGATTGGCATACAGTGGTTTATCAGGAGGTGCGTGAGAAGGAAGTCAAGTGAGAGTGTGGAACTGGGCAGGAAGTGTTCCAGAACCTCTGACAGTAAGTCTTCATCCCTTTCGCAGGCTCTAGACGGTTCTGGTGAGGTTGACTCATGCCCTAGTCAGCCTCGTCTCTTACTTTTGCCCAACCAGAGGAAGCCACTGGTCTCCATGCTCAGATCCGTGTTCCTTCCTCTGTGCCTCGGAATCCCCACAGTGAATCCCTCACTTCTGTTCAGAGCCAGGAAGCAGATCTCCTGTGTCCCGAGTCCTCCTAGGGGCACTGGTATGGTTGAGATTTTGCACCTGGCTACTGACAAGAAGATTGGAGGTTCACGTCTCCCCTTGGGCACCCCAGAACAAAGGCCTGGCAGTCAAATTCTGAAAGACCAGCCATTGAAAACCCTGCTGGGCGCAGTTATCTAACACACGGGTGTGCTGGTGTGGTGGGAACTGGTCTGACTTGGTTCACGTGCTCACACTTCAAAGTGCAGGTGAATGAATCCCTGCCGGTCTTGTTAAAATGCAGGTTTGGATCCAGTCTGGTTTTTTATGCAAATAACATGCACCTTCACATTTCTCAACCAGCTTTGCCCTCCTGCCCCGCGAGGTATTTTCCTAAGTACGCGGAGCTAATTTTTTTTTTTTACAGAAACATCTTTTTAAAAATTGGCATGTGGTGCTTAGGAAAACACCTCGAGGGTGGTTTGCAAACAAACGTGAGAGGTGCATGTTGTTTGCATGAAGATACAGCCGTTCTGGGCTGGGCCTGGTTTCTGCCGCTCCCACTGGTGCCGAAGGTGGGACAACTGGCATTGAGCCAGCGGACAGACCCTGGGTCTGGTCTCCGTGTGACCCCCTGGCTCTGCTGCCCAGTGCTGTGGGCTGTTCATCGGAGGGTCTGTGTGCTGAGGTCAGAAACCATGTCACACAGAGCAAGCTCTCCCCAAGGCTGGATGTTCTCAGAAGCATGGCAGCCCTGTGAATGGTCCTCAGCCCCTTCCTTACTGCCCCTGTCGGTCTGCTTAGGCAGCTGTGTGGCTGGGGGTTGAGGAACACAGGAAATGTGTGGAGCAGGAGTCACGGGGACGGCCGCTTTTTGAAGTGGACTTCAATCTGGCCCTGAGCTAGAGGAGGGAGAGGTGGGGCGGTGCCAGGCTGCAGGGTGTGGTGCTTGGGCTCAGGGTGGGGCCCCCAGAACTACCACAGTGAGTCACACTGGCTGGAGAGCTAAACCCCTGCATGTGGACAGTGTCTCAGCCTGACAGACGGGGTCCCCACTGTGGTGGCCAGTCGGTAAGGCAGAGTGTGCAGTGACAGGCACCTTTCCAGGCCATTACTGATCGTACCAATGATCCATTCCCCACAGAACCACACCCAGGAGGAACCACACTACTCCATTTTCCTTTGCCCGCTCTGGTCTCCTCCGAAGATACGGGCTGTCCTCCCACCAAGGGTCTGGCAATATGACTAAAAGGCCAGCGTTTCCTCTGGGTTGTCCCATTCCTGATGCCTGGGGATGGTGGTCATGGCTGTGTGGTTAGCAGACTCTGGAATATTCCAGAGGCCTCTCCGTCATATCACATGCAGATTTAATATACTGGCTACGAAAGCTGGTTTGCCCTCTGACTCTTAGTAATTCAGAAAGGGGCAGTGTTTTTGTAAAGCCATGCTGCATGACCCTCCTTTCTCCAGCAGGTGGGCACCGTGGTGATGAGAGTTGAGTGTGGGCCTGGCCTGTCGTGTGGCCGTGCTGGGGGTGGGGGGTGGAGGATGCTTCTACAGGCAGAGGCAGAAGGCCGCCGGAGAGGAGGGGAAACTGCTTCCTGCTCCTTAGAGAACCAGGCCTGTGACACAGCTGTCCCGCAGTGAGAACACGCAGGAACTTAGGAGGCTGGAGGGCAGGGATGCTGGTGCCTTTTCAGACAAGTAGGGCACTGTGAACTAGATTTGCTTGATGTCCTGTCAGAGAGGCTCAGGGAATGATGGTTCCAGCTTCCCTGGGAGCAGGCTCAGGGCCCCAGTGTGCCGTGTGAGGCAGAAGCAGCTGAGTTCTTGGGGCCCGGGGGTCCATGCCCGTTGACTGAGACCTCGCCTCTCAGAGTAGCCCTTCTCTGGTCACTAACTCCAGTGGGCGTAGAGAGGAGAGGACCACATGAGTGTCTGGAGGCCCATCATGGTGAGGGGCCGGCTGTGTTAGGCTGAAGGACCCTGACTGCAGGGTCACTGCCAGGCCACCAGGTTTGGAGGTCCACCTCGTGACCTTGACCAAGTACTATCCCTCTCTGTGCCTCAGTTTCTGTATCTGTGGAATGGGCTGAGCGTTCCTGCCTGTCACATTGGGCTGTTTCAAGGATGAAGTGGGTTCATTCCACCTGAAAGCACCTAGGACAGTGCCCAGTGCACTTGGCAAATGTTGGCTGTTGTCACATCACTGTCATCACAGACACCAGGGGACCCCAGTGGCCTGGACCGTCTGGTCATGGGGAGGAGACACTAGCACTTTTCTGTTTGCTTTACTGTTTATTTATTGCTCATGTTCTCGTTGAGTCCGCCTTGTAGTGTCTGTGTGTAATCTAATAAGCACACAGATATTGGTGTGCAATGAGCTTTTCCCCGATGGGTTGTGTGATCAGAAAATGTGGGCCATGGGGTTAGAACAGAGGGGTCTTTGAAATCCCCGGAAGGGCCCACCCCAGCTTTGCTTCCAGCCCTGTAACAAGGTTCCTTACTGGGAAAGGAAGAGCCCCTGGGTGGCAGAAATGGTTAACGCCTCAGATGTGTTAATGCCCACAGATGCCGTAACTGCTTGCGTCCACCCAGGGGTGCCTTGGAAGAAAGGCCTGGCATCTGGTTGTCGGAAAGGCTTCCTCCCCCACCCCCAGCACACTCAGGGTGTCCTGCTGTGTGAGTAGCCGTCTGTCCGCAGGGAACAGCGCGTGGGGGCTCCTGAGCTTCCGGGCTCCCTGGTAGGTGCCTGCTGCACGTGTACTCTAGGGGCCACGTTCACGATTCTGTTTTGCAGGAACCAGCTCTTGCACGTGCCCCTGAAGCACCACCAGGTGAGCTGCTCTGACTGGCTGCTGAAGGTGATCTGTGGGGCAGTGGCCATCCGCACCGTGTACGCCTCGCACAAGCAGGCCAAGGCCTGCCTCATCTCCCGCATCAGCTGTGAGCGGGCCGGCGCGCGCTTCCACACCCGCGGCGTCAATGACGACGGTCACGTGTCCAACTTCGTGGAGACGGAGCAGGTCAGGGCTGGGCCTGGCCCCGAGACGGGGGGGGGGGGGGTCAGAGAAGTCACCAAAAAACTGACTCTTTTATGTCATTGATTCCAACTCATGGTGACCCCACATGTTAGAGCAGAGCTCCCCATATGGTTTTGTTGGCTGTCATCTTCACAGAAGCAGACCACTAGCCCTTCCTTCCGTGCAGTGCTGCTAGGTGGGTTTGAACCACCAACCTTTAGGTCAGTGGTGTTAGGTGCTGGCAAGTCAGTTCCAACTCATAATGACCCTTTGTCCAACAGAACAGAACACTGCCTGGTCCTCCACCACCCTCACAGTCATTTCTGTTTGAGTGTTGCAGCCACTGTGTCAGTCCATCTCATTGAGGGTCTTTTTCACTGACCCTCTACTTTACCCAGCATGCTATCCTTCTCCAGGGACTGGTCCCTCCTGACAGCACGTCCAAAGTGTGTGAGACAAAGTCTCACCATCCTCCCTTCTAAGACACGTTCCGGCTGCTTTCTTCCAGGACAGATTTGTTCAAGTTAATGGTTGAGATCACATGTTTATGCCACCCAGGGACCTTGGTCTGAATTCGCCCTCCACCCAGATTCTCGATCCCCAATTCCTAGGGCTCAGCACGGGCACAAGTGTATTGCATCTTGGGCAGAGGAGTTTGGAGGTTTGGGGATGTTTTTGACCGTGGCTCCTGACTGTAATTGGAGAATGGAATGTGCATCTGGGGCCAGGTGTGATAATCCAGCCCCGGGCTGCGTGGTGGGTATGTTTTGCTTCACTTCTCACGATGGGAGAACGTTGCTCACTGGAGATATCTTTAGCTGAAAGGAATCAGGAGTTTGCTGTGGTCATCAAGGGTGGGAGTTACTCAGAGAACAGCTGGCAACAAACCCCTCGGGATGGAAAATCTTTTCATAACAAAAATAAGTGGATCAGTATCCTGGAAGGATGACATGAGAAGCAAGCCTTCTTATTTCTATTCTAAACCAACTGACGCTTCAGCCACGATACAAGGGCAACAGCTGGGCGTGGTGCGGGCTGGGCTCCAGCAGCACTTGGTCTCAGCTCCTTAGCGTGGCCATCTGCTTCGCTTCTCGTTGATTGTTACCCCCGTGACTTACAGTCTGTAGGTGATTGGAATGGCGGGTGGGACAAGCTGCAGGACAGGAGAGCCCCATGAAGGCCCAGGTAGAACGGGGTCATGGGCGGCGTGCCTTTAGTACCTGGGGTTGATTTAGCGGAGATGTGGCTTTGCATTTCCTTGTCACTACTGCTGCTGCCGTGGGAGGATTCATTGTGAGGCAACTAAAACCACAAAAACCAAACCCATTGCTGATGAGTCATTTCCGACTCACAGAGACCCTATAAGACAGGTGAAACTACCTCATAGGGTTTCCAAGGCTGTCATCTTTATGCACGCGAAGCCCAAACGAATACCACTGCCTTCGAGTTGAGTCTGACTCACAGTGCCCCCAGAGGACAAAGTGGAACTGCCCCAGAGCATTTCCAAGGCTGTCATCTTTAGGGAAGCAGGCTGTTGCATCTTTCTCACCCCGCTGCTGGGTTCCAACTGCAGACCTTCTGGTTAGCAGCAGAGTGCTTAACCAGCGTGCCCCCAGGCTCCATAGACACCATTGGCCAGTTTAATCCAGCACATACTTGAATACCGACCATGTGCGCATCTTTCAGAGCTCAAAGATGAAGGAGGGCACTTTGGAGGTCACTCAGCCGGGGGACGTTACTGCCTGAACCTTCGTGGGAGCAGAAGGCTGAGTTACTTGCATGGGATACCCCCCTGATACCGGCCGCCCTGGATGCTGGCCAAAGCTGTTCAGTGCACATGTGGTTACAAAGGAGAGGGAGAGAGTGTCCAGAGGCGGACCTACGGAAAATAGCACCGAGGTCAATTCGTTTTACGTTGCTGAGCCATCTCCCACCTCGTTGCGATGGCGCGTGGAAACCGCTCAGTGGTGCTCCGCCTCAGGTGGCCCGGCCCACGGGCCGGACTGCCCCTCCTGGGCGAGCACGTGGCCCCAAACGCAGGCTGTTCCCTTTTCCCTCACTCCTGCATGATCTGTGAAATGACTCCTCCTTGCCACCGTGTCCCTCTGCTGTGACTACGTCTTCCAGCCCAGCGTTTAGCCTGGGGATGGTGGTTAGCCTGGCAACCGTTCAGTTCCTTCCACAAGTAGCAATGGTAACTTCTCCCCTGCCTGGGCAGCATGCTGGGCCAGGACTGGGGCCAAGGTGCAAAGCATTATTTGTAGGAATGGAAATGCCAGGGACCTTAATCTGGTGGCCAGCAAGACTCCTGAGGGGGTGACAGCTGCCCTGCCCAGACGCCGTGGCCTGGCCTTTGCCTCCTTCCCCACCAGCCCTTGAGTCGATAGTGCTTGTTTGTAGTCTTGTTTGGTGTCCCCAGATTCTGGGATTTCAACCAGTTAAAAAAATGGAGTGCTGTGTCAGGGTCTCACCTACTCATCTCACCAAATAAATCATTGCAAGAACAGCCGCCTTCCATGACAGCTGTCCTTTTCTAAATGATTTTTTAAATTTATTTTCTGTTTGTGGTTTTTGAGAATTTGCACAGCAGGTCATACAGCAGTTCAGCGGTTCCCATGTGTGCAGTTGCCACATTGACCACATTCTTTGAGCTGTGTGACCATTCTTACCTTCCTTTTCTGAGTTGTTCCTCTTCCACGAACATAAGCCCACTGCCCCCGAAGATTCCTGGGTAATCCTTCGTTGGCAGTGTGATCCCATAGAGAGAGTTCTTAAAAGAGGACAGTGCTTAAGGCAGACAGTTTTGATTAAGCTAAACTAATGTTTGGTTTTAAGAAGACTTCAGGGGATGTTTTGGCTTAAGGTTTAAAGACTATCTCGGGATAATAATTTCAGGGGTTCATCCAACCTTCATGGCTCCAGAAAATCTGGGTTCCATGAAACTTTGAAACTCTGCTCTACATTTTCCCCCTTCTGATCAAGATTCTTTTATAGAATCTTCGATCAAAATGTTCAGTATTGGTAGCCAGGCACCATCTAGTTCTAGTCTCATGGCAAAGGGGGCAGTTGTTCATGGAGGCAATGAGTCAAACATTCCATATCATCCTCCTGTCCCTGACTCTTCTTCTTCCTTTCTTGTTCCCAGTGAATAAAGACCAATTGTTGTGCCTTGGATGGCTGCTTGCAAGCTATTTTTTTTCCTCCCAAATGATTTTTTCCACTTTGTTCTCTCTCTCTACCCAGGATCTCCTACATAGATCCCCCTCCGAGTAGTTGACAGTGGTAGCCAGGCACCATCTAGTTCCTCTGGTCTCATAGTCATATAGGCTGCAGATCACATGGTGTACCAGTTGCTAGGACTAATTATTTCCATGAATCTTTGGTTTTCTTCATTCTTCTTTGCTCTGGATGAGGAGAGACCCATCGTTGCATCTAGATGGCAGCTTGCTAGCTTTTAAGACCCTGGACACTATGCAGTGAACTAGGAGGTAGAAAGAAGCATTAAACATGGTACTAGGCCAAATAACTGAGATGCCCCATCAAACCATGACTCCAAGCTTCCAAACCAAGGAACCAAATGCCATGGGGTGTGTGGTTGTGCATCAGCAGCTTCAGAAGCTGCTGTTTGTGTTGCCTTCACTCTGGGTGTTTCACGTATGTGTGTTGTGACTTGAATTTTTCTCTCCATGTTTTCACTTTACTGCTTAGGGTTCGGGGGCAGGGCCTTGTCTTCACATCTCCTGAGCACCCCCCAACCCACACCCCTACACACCCTGGCTTTAGACAGATGTCTGAGAGAGCACCAGCCACACACCAGCTCCCGGAAGTCCAGCCTGATGCTGTTTAAATTGCCCCCATCTTCCTTCTCAGGATTAGGCCTGAGGCATTTGACTGCTAACCAGAAGGGTGGTGGTTCCAACTCACCAGCCACTCCATAGAAGGAAGGCTGGGCAGTCTACTTCCGTAAAGATTTACTGCCTCAGAAGCCTAAAGAGGGTTGCCGTGAGTTGGAATCGACTCGATGGCAGTGAGTTTGTTTTTTTTTTTCGCCTTCCTTGCTCCCTTACAGCTTTGCGGCCTTCCTAGTCTGTGTGTTCATCCTTTCTCCTCCCCCTGGGGTCTGGGTCACAACAGTGTGGCTCAGTGCTTGTTGCTCTTTGCAGAAAGAGCACCTTCCTCCCAGGAGCAGTGGTCACGCCGACAGCCAGCCAGAAACCCAGCTGCTGCTGACCCAGGGACTGTAGTCTGCAGATGGCAGCCCTGTCCCCCGTGGGCACTTAACCCCTCGGCTGTTTTGCTTTTATCTCAGAAGAGTAACAGGGCATGAGGGTCATTAGGATTGAGTTGTGGCCCATACAACACCTGTGGTCAACCCTAACCACCCTAACCACCTTAACCATGTGTTCTGGTTCCCTAGTGCTGCTCTGACAAGAATATACCACAAATGGGATGGCCTTAACAAACAGGAGTTTATTCTCTCAGTTTGGAGGCTTTAAGTCCAAGTCAAAGTGCCAGGCTCTAGGGGCTGGGGGAGAGCCCCTCAACCTTGGGGTCCAGCTCTGCCTCCTGCTCCTGGCCCACTGGAGCTTCACTGAGTTTCTTCACTCAGACAGCTGCTGGCTGCGGAGGCTGAGAAGCCCAGGGTTGAAGAGTAAAAAGGCATAGTCTCAATGTTACCAAACCACACGGCAGGCCATTAATTCAAGTCCATTGTAAGTCCCCAGGTTGGCAGAGCATGGCAGGCTGCTGAACAACAACACGGCTACATGCAGGGTCCAAGTGTGCCATAAGCTAGAAACTGTTCGCAAAGCTGCTTCTTATATATGGGAAGCAGACCACATACCCAAAGACAGCTACTCAGCTGCTCCCAGTAGATTCCACCATGGAGTTGATTACCAGTCTCATGGGGAATACTGCATCCAGCTGCCCAACCATTCAACCGGCCCAGCCAAGTTGACACACAGACGTAACCACCACACCATGGCTGTAATCCCATTCTGGAA